AAAAAAAAAAAAAGAATATACAAGCTAGGCACAGTGGCAGAAATCTATGATCCCCGCAACTCAGGGCCTGAGGAAGGAGTATTGCAAGTTTAAGGCCAGCCTTAGCAACTTATCAAGGCCCTAGGCAACTTGGTGAGACCCTGCCTCAAAATAAAAAATGAAAAGGGCTCAGTGGTAAAGTGTCTCTGAATTCAATCACCATTACAAAACCAAACCAGTCTCTTCCCCCAAAACCTATACCAGATAAAATCAAGATTTACCTGGTTCAATTACTTTGCCAGGAGGGTATTTCACCACAATTTGACGTCCATCAAGGTGCTTAAATGTGAACTGAAACCCACACAGAGCTTCAACAAGTCCTATCTTATATGTCATGTGCAAATCATTGCCATCTCTCTGGAACACCTTTAAATAAAGCACACAAAAAAACACTTTAAAAAATTACAGATCCATACCCTGTACTACATTCCTTCAATCAACTTCAAAATCTTAACTGTATCACTGCTTTAAAAGCTTGTGTGTCACTGTCCCTAGTTTCCTAAATTTATGTTAGAAAAGCTAGTAATTCCCAGGGAGTATGCTAAAAACTTGTATTAGGAAGGCAATGAACCAGGAAAACATTGGCACAAGAACAGAGCCGAGGCACCAAAACCTAGAACCAAGTATATTTTCCAATTACTTTCTAATTCTGTCTCTGGGCAGAAAGGTACAGAAAGACCAGCAGGCTTCTATTGAACAGGCTCAATCTGGAATTCTCCCCAGATTTGATCCTAACAAGCGAAGGAGGTTTAAGATCAACACTAAAAAGCTTTACCAGGAAGGCTCAGACATTAAAGTGAAGAGGCTCAATTCAGTGCTTCATATATGCACAGATTTTATCTCATTTAAAATTGAAAACCTGCTTAGAAGAATGTTAATTAAACAAATGATAAAGTTGGCTTATTCAATCCAATACCATAAGCCTATGGACTAGGTAATACAAAGGTTACCAAATAGACACAAAGATTATCTCTAGGATTTCAATGTTTAGTAAAAATAAATTCAATTTCACATATATTTAACATGTAATTTTTACTTGGGAGAATTTGCAAATATCTACACTTAGCTTTTGAAATTTGAGATGAAACAAAAGTAACTGCAGTAAAAGGTCACCTAGTTTTTTTGTTGTTGTTGTTGTTTTTTGTTTTTAATATAACAGGCTCTCTTCTAAAGAGCAATCTTGGCTGGTTCTATCCAAAAGATAAGCTCTTTTCCTAAAATATTCTCCTAAATTTTCCCATGAAATAAACTGTTATCTTAAGCAGTGATTCTCTTAAGGGTGATTCTGGTTGGGCAGCCTCAAAATCAACAGCAGGAGGAAATTTGTTGGGAACACACATTCTTGGGCCCCATTCCACACCTAATGCTAGAAAATAAGAGGTGGGYCTTAGCAATCTACAGTTTTCATAACCCTTTCAGGAGATTCTAAAGCAATGCTTAGGTTTTTGAGAACCAATGAATGTATATTAACTATGACATTTACTTGAGTGTTTCTCACAATGGAACCAATAAGCCTTCTTTAACCAATAAGGCAGAACTTTTCAATGCTTTTAAAATGCTACATTGTTCTTAAAATGTCAGTGTTTCCAAATACCAATATTCTAAGAAACACCTTTTGCCAACAATTCTTTGGTTATAGCTTATTAGAAATAGGGAGCAGGAAGAGATATCTGTTCTTATGTGGGAGAGTTCAACTTAAAGTAACTCCAGTGAAAAGTATGAGGTATTCCTAACAAAAGCTAGGAATGGTGGTGGTGCATGCCTATAATCCCAGTGAYTAGGGAGGCTGAAGTAGGGGGATCTTAAGTTAGAAACTAGTCTCAGTAACTTGGCAAGACCCTGTCTGAAAGCCAAAACAAAATAAAAACAACAACAAAAGAAACACAGAATCACTGCTATTCTTTTAGTATGTTGGGATTAAGACAATTTGATGCTAATGTTCAAACACAAAAAATAAGCAAAAATACCATAGAATTTTTTGTTGCCAGAAAATTTTTAAAAAGCAAAATGAATAAGAGCCTAATAAATACTAAACAGCAAAGCACATAAAAACCTTAACAGTTTCTGAGAAATAATACTTAGATTACAAAGAAGGGACTAACATCTTCAGAAACTGTTTTTCTATGCTGTACAAATGCATTTTTGTAGCCAGACCACTACACACACACACACACACACACACACACACACACACACACACACACAGTATAGCAAGAATCTGAACACACGTGAGATAGCATTCCCAATGACCTTTGATCAGATTTATGTTGTTTAAACTATAGCACCAATCTTCATTTCATTATGGCCCCAATTTCTTTAGTGGAAGTGATGGGAGTAGAAGTGGGAACGGTTTTCTTGAACTGTTAGCTCCATGTCTTACTTTCTTCAGGAGATCAAAATATTTTCAGTTGTATGAACTAACCAAGATTCCTAAAAGTAATCTTTTACTTTACTGGTCATAATAAAGAAGGAACTAGGTGAATTTCCATTCTAATCTTTACCAGCTTCTATTTCCTACCTTAGACAATCAGTTACTTTGCTTTCCGTTGGAAATTCCAAGCAATTCTACTGATGCCAACAATTTTAAGGTTTCTTATTTCTAAAACACTTTCTCACACCCTCAAGAAAGCAGCTTATTCATAATCTCATGCAATTATCTACAATATGCTTCCTGAGGGAGGACTATCTTTGTTTTTGGTAAGCAAGGCCTGGGGAGCACAATGCATGTAACTAAATGGGGGTCAGAACTTAAGTTCCTTGTGTCCAAATCCAGCAATCTACTTTTAAAATTTAATTATAAAGCAATATTATAGCAAAACTTGAGTATAAAMAGATTTTGCCATTAGTTTGACAAACCCTAAACTGAAAAACACCAATCATTTATTTCTCCTCTCCTCCAAGTAACTGTTACTTAACTTTCTCACTATTCTCATATTGCTGCACTGCCAGACATCATTTGATAATCTCAAAACTACTCCAATGATTCTATCAATAAAAATATTCTGGGGATATTTGTACCATCATTCAATATCATCTACACAAAAGCAGACTATTAAACATCTCAATCAGCCTCCCACCTSTTATGCTTTGTATGGTGTTGTTTTTGTATGGTTGTCCAGCAAGCAAGAGGGAACAAATGAGGAAGTAGTTAAAATGCCAGGTATGGTGGCATACACCTGTGATCCCAGAGGCTTGGGAGGCTGAGACAGGAGGATTACCAGTTCAAAGCCAGCCTTAGCAACATCGAGGAGCTAATCAACTCAGTGAGACCCTCACTGAGGAGCTAAGGAACTCAGTGGAGACCCTGTCTCTAATACAAAATAGGGCTGGGAATGTGGCTCAGTGGTAGAGCACTTGCCTTGCACATGTGAGGTACTGGGTTGTATACTCAGCACTACATAATAATAAATAACTAAAGATAATGTGTCCTTAAATAAATAAACAAAAAGGATAYTGTGTCCCACCCACAACTTAAAAAAAAAAAGATGCTTATCATTTGTAGGTTTGGGCATATCCAGGAAGAGCTGAAACATAGTAAATTACAGTTTTACTGAAGCATGAACTCTAACAAAAATCAGTGTACCCTAAAAAATGATAGTCCAGGGAAGTGAGCCACAACCTTGTGAGGAAATACAAATTCCCAGAAATCTGCTTCTCAGTAATGGCCTTGATGTTGTTATCTTTGGATTTTTTAAAAAATTTTTTATTTGTTCTAATTAGTTATACATGAAAGTAGAATGCAGTTCTACACATCATACATATATGAAGTGTAACTTCTCATTCTTCTGGTTGTACATGATATAATCATGTATGTACATAGGGTAATAATGTCCAATTCATTTTATTATGATTCTTATCTTCTTACCCCCTCTCCTCCTTTTACTCCTCTCGTCTACCTCCACCATTGTGACTTAGCATCTGTATATCAAGAGAATCCATTGGATTCTTGATTTTAATTTTTTAAAACCCTCTCTCCCCCCTCACCCCCAAATATATACATATGTGTTCATGTGTGTATGAATACATATGTGCACAATGGTATAATCAAATTAATACACACTAGACCATATTGTTAGACAAGTTCCACAACCTGTTCTTTCAAGGAACACTCATCTGGCTACATAATAAGTATAGAGTAAAACAAATCAGAGCAGTGTGTAAAGCCCTATCCACTCACTCATCAAAGGAGTTTCACAATGAAAAATAAGCTGCCTCAAATCATCTGACCCAATGCCCTATTTTCATAAAAAGGAAACTGAGGTGAAAAGATAACAGGATTACTTAAGGTTATAGTGCTTGTCTATGGCAAAGTTGGGACTGAAACTATAGTAACTCCTACAATGTACCTGCTTTGTTGGTCAGTTCTTGCGTAAGCAAGCCATGCTCACTGAAACAACTTCACCTATGTTCAGTGTTACTCTGGGGATCTATCATATTTCTTAAGCAAGACCAATTTCTGAATAAAACAAAATTAAATAAAAAGGAAATTACCTCATGTTCTTTCTCCTGTAGCAAAAGAACAATGTCTCCTGGTTCCACTCCTGGGGCCTGGTCTGCTTCCCCAGTGAATGTAATTCTCTGTCCATGTTTCATGCCTTTGTCTACATGAACTTCAAGAATCTTGACTTCTTTAATCACCTTCTTTCCTTCACATTTTTTACAGCGGTCCTTTTCATTAATTACCTCTCCTGAAAAGARAGGACATTCAAACTTTCAGCAAGAGTACTATCTACTGCCTTTTCAAGTAAAATGTCTCAAAAATGCCCTTAATTCATTAAATACATGTTCTGAATTACTTCTAATTTCTACCTATATTTCTGTCTAAAGTATCATTCTGAATGACCAAAACTCACATCTTACTGCAATCGTCTGAAAGACACAGCTATACACAATTTCAGAATGTAATGTATCTTATACTTTCTTTGCTCCTGATTCTACTTCCTAAAGTTAAAGTGATGTCTAAGAATCAAGGAAAACATTTAGGTGGTGAGATGCTGGAGCTTTAACTGCTTCTTTAGCAAATGTTTTCAGTTCCATAAGTTTAACAATGGACAGAAATAACCAAAATAAAAATTTAAATATCTATGCCTTATTATTAGATAGTTGGTACTGGAGTTTATTTCATAGACAAAATCTTGTTCAGGTGTCTGCAGATGTTCTTTTATTTTAAAAAACTTTCCCCATTGTGGTGTTGGGGATAAAATACAGGGCCTTATGAGCTCTACCACAGAGCTATATCCCCAACCCTAAACTAATATTTACTATCACTGACTTTTCAAAATCAATTAGAGATGTCTTGAGAGTTTTAGCTGGCAATGAATTCCTCTGTATCATATTTTAAGATACCATGGCTTTTCCATATATTCTTCTGAAATAATCTAATTATGGTATAATAACATAAAACTACATTACACAGTACAATGTGAAGAACAGCATGGCTTTCTAATGCCTGGTTGCTGACATATTTTAATTGTTAGAAGATTTATATAATAACTTCATGGACTGTTTCTAGAGCAGTACTTGTAAAATACCAATTCCTCAAAATAGTAATGGTACATGGGAAAGGATTCTAATTGACTTTGGTTTCCTTTTTTTTTTAATTATAGATGACACAATACCTTTAATTAATTTTATGTGGTGCTGAGGATCGAACTCGGTGCTTCACATGGCTAGGCAAGTGCCCTAYCACTGAGCCTTTACAATTTCTTGATAGCAAATTGTTAGCAATTTCAATAATGTTAAAAGCGTAAGATTATCTAGGAAAAATGCAGACTTTTCCACCCCCTCAAAAAAATCTACTAGGTAATTAAAAAAAAAAATCCAGTTCCTCAGTCACACTAGCTTCTTTTTCTTTTTGTTTTCTTGTTGTACTCCCTGGGGAATGAACCCAGGGCCTTAAATATACATCACAACTGTTCTATCACTGAGCCACACTCCTATTATCTACTAGCCACATTTCAAGCACTGCTACAGGTGATTAATGGTCACCTGTATGACACTGCAGATAAAAAACATTTTTATCAGGCTGGGGTTGTGGCTCAGAGGTGGAGAACTCGCCTGGCACGTGTGAGGCGCTGGTGGAGTTGTACTCTAGAACAGAAATATCTCACAGGTCAAATTCAGAAGGCTTCTTTTTTTTTTTTTAATCAGTCTTTAGAACACAGCCATGCCCATTCGTGTACATACTGTCAATGGCTATAAAAGCACCAAAAGGACAGAGGTAAGCAGATGTGATGAACTATTTGTCCCACAAAACTAAAATATTAACTTCTGTGAGAACAACTTCCATTCTAGTATCTTTCTTCAAAAGCTAACTAAAAATTATGGCGTAGTGGTACACACCTGTAATCCCTGCAACTACTGAGGCCCTGAGGCAAGAGGACTGAGAGTTCAAAGCCAGCCCCAGCAGATTAGCAAGGCACTTAGCAACTCACTGAGACCCTGTCTCTAGATAAAATATAAAAAAGGGAATGTGGCTCAGTGGTTAAGCACCCCTGCATTCAACCCCCATTACAAAAAAAAGTAAAATACAAAGGGACAAATAATCATTTTACCCATCTTTTTCGAATAAAAAAAAGACTGACTTAACTTGGGGCTGAGGGTATAGCTTAGTGGTACACAGTATGCTTAGCACAAGCAAGGTCCTGGGTTCAATTTTCAACAACCAAAAGTGAAACAACACTCATTTTCATTGGACATAAACACAAATTTACTACTTAACTGTGTTCATTGAGCCTATCCATAATGGAATAATTATTTTCACTTTTAGACCTCTATACAAATATACATTGAAAAAGAAAAATTATAACCCTTTAATATCTGCATTCCCAATTCATTCCAACATAAAAGCAAAGAAATACTGGCATGTATACCTTCTCCATTACAATCAGAGCACACAGACTGCATCTGTTGTACCATTCCAGGAGCCAGCTGTCTGATCATGATGCGTACACCTCGACCCCGACAAGCACTACACTTCTGAACAGCTCCAGACTTCCCGCCTTGGCTAAAGAGAGCAAAGYATAAATTAGATTTTTACCCACAGACCATTCCAATATGCCATTCAACCAGAAACTGTGCTGTTAATCCCCCACTACTAATATTTAAACTGACCTTAAGAGGTATCAGAAATGTTGTGTTTGGTAGTAAGTTTAAAATCACAAACAATTTTTATCCAATACAAACTTTCGGCCTGCCACTAAAGAGGAAAATAATATTGCATAAAACAAAYACACACTTACCCACTGCATGCACTACAGAGTACATTCTTGCTAAGTTGTAGTTTGGTTGTCTTGCCATTATAGAGATCTTCTAAAGATACTCTGGGAAGGAAAAAAAAAATCAAATTCAACTAAAATTTTGCCAAATTTCTTAAATATAAGATGTAAATAGCTGATACAGCAAATTCCATGGTAATTTTTTAAAACAAAAATTAAAAAAGACCCCACATTAAATCAGTTCGATGGACACATCTTATTTTGTAGCTCAAATTTACAGAAAGATTTTAAGACTACAGACAATGTAAATGGTGCTCAAAGTCAGAATCTACAGCATCACACCAACAATTCACTGTGGCACAATTTCAGATAGAGCTGATAACTGCACAAACTCAGCCATTAAAACCTTTTTCTGGCCTCAGGCAGGAGCCCTCCATCCAAGTAATTCTTAATCACAACCTTCTGAGGTAGTTATCCCCATTTTACAGAGAAGCTAAGTAACTTGTCYAAGACAAGGCTGTGCCCCCCACCTACCCATTACAAGGACTACAAAAAGTTATGTTACAGCTTAAGGGAGGTGTTTAGACTGTGTCTCAAAAAAGTGGCCTTGGGCTAAGAAATGTATTTTGGTGGTAGAACACCTGCCTGGCTTGCATTTGGGCCCCGGGTTCAGGTCCCAGTATTGCAAAAGAACAAGGTAGATTTACCTACACTGTGACAGAAAGGAGGGGGAAAAATAGGTTTTCAACAGAATGTCTCCAAGTTTTAGAGTGTCTGAAGATTCCATTTTATCATAAGCAACGCTGAACAACCTTTACCAAATTTTCAAAGGAGTCAAAATTTTCAGAAGTTTAACTGAAAAGCCTGGTATCCACTCATAAAGGTGTATATGGTAAAATGGCATAAGGAGAAAAGGCTTATTAAAAAAAATACAACTGCTAAAATTTAATTCACTTTTATTCATAAATAGTAATTGAATCACAGTACCAATTTCCATACCAGCCTTAAAAACTAAACAAAAACCAAAACTCCTGGATTCAATCCCCAATACTACAAAGCAACCAACTACATCCAAAACTATATAAAGCAAAAGTCTCACCAATACTATTCATTTAGGACTTGGCAGCAAAGCCTTTAATATTTTTAGTTTTACCATTCTTGTTGTCTTTCAATCTTATCTCTTTTCCCCCCACAGTTGGGAATCAAATCCAGGGCCTCACCCATGCTAGGTAAGTGTGTTCTACCACTGAACTATATCCCCAGCCCCTAAACCTCCTTTAGTAGTATTAATGATTTACTTTTAAAAAACTGGGAGTTAAGGGGCTGGGGTTATGGCTTAGCGCAGTAGAGCGTTCGCCTAGCATGTGTGAAACCCTGGGTTTCATCCTCAGCACCACATAAAAATAAATAAAATAAAAGTATTGTGTCCAATTACAACTAAAAAGTAAATATTTAAAACAAAACAAACAAAAAACCTGGAGTTGAAGAAATGAAGAAACACTTTAAAAGGCACCTATACTATTCTGTGGTATTCAAACTTTCTCAAAACCACTCTTTAAGCTAAAACTTTCATACACTGCAGACTGTATAAAAATAACATTTATGGACACAACAGTACCAACAATTCCAGATGACACATCTACATCTCAAGTCTTAAACTTATTCGTCGCAACTATTTTTTTCTCCCACTAAAAACCTTTATCCAAAGGGGTAGTCCATTTCACATATATATATATATATTAAATTACAACTAGTATGCAAAAACCACTATCTCAGAAGCCAGAAAAATCCACATTTTAACAAACAGGGCCAAGAAAGGGAAAATGGGAGTAATGATCCAGCAAAGTTAGCACTCCCTATCACGGCCTAAACTGGTACAATCCCTTCATAAGGCAATTCACTTATATTTATCAGTCTCAAACAGTGATGCCTGCCAAGAGAGACACAAAACTGTACATAAAAATACCCATAGCAACACTATTACAGAAAAAAAAACTTAATATCCTATATAAAAGATAAATGAATGAGGGCTGGGATTGTGGCTCAGTGGTAGAGTGCTCACCTAGCATGTGTGAGGCCCTGAATTCTATCCTCTGCACCACATGAAAATAAATAAAGGTATTGTGCCCAACTACAACTAAAAATTAAATATTAAAAAAATAAAAAAGATGAATGAGTAAATGTATCACAAAATGAAATATTATAAAGCCACAAAAGAAAATGCAATAAGTAGAAATAAGAAGTAATATTAGAACAGCAAAAAATGCATTTGCTGTAAAGTATAAAAAACTTTTTTTTAAAAGGTACAGGAAATACTGGAGTCTTTTTCTTTTTTTTTTTGTACTCAGGTTTGAACCCAGGGATACCACAGGCCTAGCCCTTTTTATTTTAAGATAAGGCTTCACTAAGTTGCTGAGACTGGCCTCCAACTTTAATCCTCCTACTTTGGCCTCCCAAGTTGCTGGGATTACACATATGCACCAATATGCCTCACTGTTTACCTTTTTTAAAAAGTCCATTTATTTTTTAGAACATTTCTATATCCAAGAATAATATGGAAGAACCAACTCCCCCTGCACAAAATATTACTATTGGAACAGTATCCAAATGAGAATTTATTTCTAAGGGCAAATTCTTTCAAAACACACATAAATTTAAGGATGACTCACATGAATTCCTACAATTTATTCAAATATTAAACAAGATATATTTGTTTAAGTAATGAAATATACACGTAAAGTATGAACTTATCTCTGGCATTTGCTAGTGAAAACTTTAGTGGCTCATGGAAAAAAAAAATCACTGGATAAAAGACCTCACAAATTTCAAATAATGAAATATCTACTTTCATATTATACAGGGGTTATGGATTCCCAGTCTAAGATCAAAGTCGACACCAGGTTAATGCCAGGCTGGAAGCCAGCAAGCTCCATGGAAACCATTTTTGGAGAGTTCACACTGAAGATTAAGTAATGAGTGACTTTAACATGTAAACAGACTGGTCAATCACTATGTAATTTTTTTAAAATAAAAGATAACTTGAAAGATTTAAATGTTTCAGAGAAAATAATCCCACACTTGAAAAATCCATCTTCCTACTCAGTAAACAACATTAATTATCCTTTTATGATCTAAAGCAAAATACAAACATCCAGTTTATTAAATTCATTTAGTCACTTAATGAACACAGGAAGACACCATTTTTTTTTTKGGTACCGTGGAAGAATCCAGGGGTGCTTGACCACTGAGCCATATTCCCAATTCTTTTTTATATTTTATTTAGAGACAGGGTCTTACTGAGTTGCCAAGGGCCTTGCTTTGGCTGAGTGAGGTTGCCTCAGCCTCCAAAGTCCAAAGGAATGACTTTTTGTTGTTTTCAAATGAAGGAGAATATTCTATGATATTTCTATCGGATTATTACCACTTGAAGAAAGTACACAATATTTACTAAAAAGAAGACAAAAAAAGATACTCACTTTAGCGGATGCATCATGTCCTCTCCTCTTCTTCTGCCATTTCGACTTCTACTCTGATTGCCCATGAAGCCGAACAATCCTCCACCAAAAATGTGAGAGAAAATATCATCCATGCCACCACCTCCACCGCTACCTTCCCGAAGACCTTGTTCTCCATATCTGTCATACAGCTCACGCTTCTCTGGATTTGATAATACTTCATATGCAAAACTGATTTCTTTAAACTATAAAGAATAAAGTAAAAAAAGAAAACAATTGGATTTTCAAATACAAGAGTGGGGAAAAGTTCTAGAAAACCAGAATCYACTTAACTCCAATAAAAGCTGTCATTTATCTTTGGTTTGATTCTGGTCCTATTTATCCCTAACTACTGCTCAAATGTTAGCATTCGCAATACAAAAGTAAAAGATTCTTAATGTAAATATTTGGCTTTTAGGGTCAATAGATGGATTTTTCCTACAATATTCCTCCTTTCAAAGAGGGCAATTAAATTTAAAACCAAAACCGAAGAAAACCAAAAAGTTTCAAATAACTTACTTTGTCTCCAGCATTTGGATTCTTATCTGGATGGTATTCCTTGGCTAACTTYCTGTATGCCTTCAAAAAAGATTTTTAAAAAAGGGTTATACACAAACATCAGTTTCAAGATTTGCAACAATACCCACTTTCCTAAGAAGGGATGTTTTAAAGTCATAACCTTCCAAAAATGTCATTATCACGACTGGTTAGTATTTTCCATCTCAAAATTGTTTATTCAACAGTTTACTATAATAGAGTCGATAGTTATACTTGAAAATAGATTATACTGAGAAAAACCCAGATACAAACAATGAATGCTACAAAAGAAAAAATATATTTGAAATATATTATTTGTTTTTACTGCCAAATGTTTTTATGGCCAGTAAACAGATCAAGATAACCCCAATAATCTGAGAGAAAAAATTAAGGTGTACAAAAGCAAAATATTAGTATGAATCAAGCTACAGATCCCTGTCTATGATGGCTCCTTGTCTTCCTTTTAACTGTAACACTAAGAAAAAGCCAAGAGATGCTCCTACAAGGTGTCTTTTACGTGTTTTATTTGCACAAGTGGGTGACTGGGATCTACTGTGGCCTCTATCGTAAAGTTGCATATACTCTCAATTAAGTGGTCTGGATATACAACATTTAAGTCTTCATTCACACAGACTCATGAATTATATAATACAGACTAGCATTTCCGGTAGGGTAACAGGAAGTCCATTTTACTCTTTCGATTGTACCGGTCCTACTGCCTAAGGAGCATTCTCGTTTTTCTCAGCTTTCAAATCCGGATACCCTAAGCCCAGAAGGATGCTGTGGGGATTAATTAAATGTCACAAATGCTTTGAAATTCTAAGATGAAAGATTCTGTRGTATTGCAAAGGGCGATAATACGACCTGTTTATTTTTAGTCAGTGTACACTCAGGTGTTTGGCTGGGACCCATGGCTCATTCCTAAAGCGGGCACAGGCCATGGAGATTACCTGCCCATAGAACAATGCATCCAAACAGGGACCCACGCTACCTCAGGCTGTAAGGGCGAGGGAGGAACAGAGGGAGGAGCTGAGGCCCGCAGCCGCGGCACCCAGGAAACAAACCCAATAGCCCGGAGGCACCGGCGGAGGTGGCTAAGACCCTCCTGCCGCTCCGCCTCGCGGCGCCCTACACCCGGCCCCGACGTCCGCGGCGTGGACAGCTTCTCTCCCGGTGCCAGGATGCTTAAGGGCACCTCGATCCAATCTGTTTTTCCGGGGTGGTGAGCGTGGAGAGCCCGACGGGCTGCTGCCTCCCAGGAACGCCCGGCCTCTGGCGCTAGCCCGCAAAGGGAGGAAGGAAAGGTTTTCGTCCTGTTTGCGCAGGGCTGAGTTTTATTTGCTGCATCTGCAGGCGGGCGGGGCCGGCGGCCCAAGGTCAGCCGGGGCTGGGGTGTGCGGCCCACGGCGAAGCCGGTCCCGCCGCCACTCCTCAGCCTGGGCTCGCTGCAGCCAGCGCCGGCTCACGGGCCGTCCCGTAGCGCGGCCTGGCCGCCCCGGACGCGCAGGCCCCGCGCCCCACACACCGTGCCCGACCGGCCCTCTTCCCAATACCTTCTTCAGCTCGTTCTCACTGGCGCCGGGCGGAACGCCCAGGATGTCGTACAGTTTCGTGTCGGCCACGTTAGCCATGGCGGCCTACGGGCAGCACTCGGGGAGGCAGGCGGCGAAGCGAACGAAGCGGAGCCGGGCCCACGAGTGGCGTCGGCGGCGGCGCAGGCCGAGGGAGACAGCGAGGGGGAAGCGAGGCGGGGCCAAACTTTGACCCGGCGCACGGCGCGGCGTGACGTCGCTTCGCAGAGCCCGCCCCCTCGTGCTCCGACCGGTGCGGTTGGGTGCTGCTAAGTGGACCATGTGCTCTCTTGTACCCAGGGTCTAGGCCGCGAGTCGGGTCCGACGTAGAAAATGAGGAAGAACGCTGCAGGGCGTTCTTTAGCAATTCGTTTATTGCGGGACCGCGTTTTTAACGCCGTGAGCGCTGTGGGGATGAAGAGGCTCAGTTAACTTCGAGATTGGCAGGAAAGAAAGTCCATGTGGGTTTCTGCTGGAGGCTAGCAGAGGTCGTCCTCTGGGTCTGGTTCCCTGGGGACCTTAGATGAAAAACAGCACGTGGGGTGTGTGTGTGTGTGTATATGTGTATGCGTGTGTGTATGTGTGTGACCTTAGATGAAAAACAGCACGTGGGGTGTGTGTGTGTGTATGTTTGTGTGTTTTGGGAATTCTCAAACATTTACCAAAGGTAGTATATTATACTTCTCAATATAATTAGCTACGTTTTTACCAAATTATTCCATCCATTGTACCCCACTCCAGGTTTTAAAATGAAACCATTTCATTAATAACAAGATAACTTTTAAGGCATAATCAACATCATCACATTTGATGAAATTAACAATAATTGGTTTATGGCATCCATTTCCAAACCAAGGTCTTCTTGTCTGGGCCATGTCTCTAGCCAACATCAAAAGTTTTAAGTGGCTGCCGCTGCATGCGCTGCCAATGAGGTGATTGAGGCCTATTGATTTACATTTGCTTTAGTTTAGCCTCTACCACGTGGTAGGATATGTAGCCATTTACACTTTATGGGGATAGTAAACATTTTTGGACGATTGGAAAGTGAACTGGTAACAAAGACAGCATAAGCATATCATTCAGCGTAATCTTTCTTCCTGGACATTCCCCCTGTCCTAGTTGTGGAGGGCCCTGAGTGGCAGCCAAGAACTGGAAACCTCGAGATTCTTGAGAAATTAAGATGCCCCTTCCATCAAAGTCTCCCTCTTCCTGAAATGCCATTGGAAGTGCTACTCCCTCTGAAGTTTTTCTTGATTCCATAAACTGGTGAACACTGCTGTCTCATTTAAGTTCCCATTACCCTTGTTTTTTGTTTTGTTTTGTTTTGTTTTGTTTTTTGTGGACAGATATGATGTTGACATAAATGCTATTCTGGAATGTGAGTCTGAACTCTTTAAATAGGCTGGAGGTTCCTTACAGGAGGACCCCCCCTTTAAACAATACTGGGGATTGAACCCAGGGATGCTCTACCACTGAGCAACATCCACAGCACTATTATTTATTTATTTATTTAGCGAGCAGGATCTCAATAAGTTACTGAAAGCTTGGTTCTCAACCCCAGTGCCAATTCAGTAACAATGACGTGGTTTTGAGAAAAAGGAAAAGGTTTTATTGCTTTGCTAGCAAAGGAGAACCTGGAGACCCTGGTCCCAGAGGCTATGATTCTGCCCATCAGCAGGAGCAGTGGTCTTTTAAAAAGGTAATTCAAAGGCTACATTGCATGTATTCTCCGTAGGAGTTGTAATTCACTTGTTAATTTGGGCGATAATTATTTCTGAGATCTGGTGCCATCCCCAAAGTCTGGATTTCTTTGTTCTTATGGGGGCGGGGGTATACTCAAGGACAGATAAATCTGCCTAAAATCAGGAAGAAGGATAATCTTCCCCTGAGATTAGGGAGGAGCAGGGAGAAAGGAAGACAAAGAAACTTGTCCATTTAAAAAGTAAATTGCAGGGGTGGGGTTGTGGTTCAGCCTACCACSTGGGAGACCCTGGGTTCGATCCTCAGTACCACATAAAAATAAATAAACAAAATAAAGATATTGTGGTCAACTACAACTAAAAAATAAGTATAAAAAATGTTCAGTGACAGTGCAGCAAGGGCTATATTCAAAGCATAAAGTGAACCACTGTTATAAGAGGTAGTATAAAGTTGTGAAGTTAGATTGTATATGTAGGTTGGTAACTTTTCTCTGCCATTTATTAATAATGGGAACTTAAGCAAGTTTTACCTAACTTTTCTGAGCATATTTCCTCTGTGTAAAAGAGGAAATATATCATTGACTTGTTGGATGATCACAGAATATATACAGAGTACTTAGAACCAGGAWTTAGGGCAATCAAGTATTAGTATTGTTTTGGTTCTGTTAGCTCACAGGCTACCTCTCTATTCATTTCAATTCCAGGCTTCTCTAGTGGAATTCCCCAACTTCCTCCATTACCTATGTGGAATGCCCCTCCTTTTTTTTTTTTTTTTTTAACCATAGTATCTCACTAGATTTCCCTGCTTGCTAATTACCATTTTTCTTTCCTGATTTCTCCATAAATTTTTGCTTCACATGAGAATATGAACTGAAGAATATGAACTTTATTGCAACCTTCATATAGTTTATCTTATTTTTTAATCTTTCTTTATACCATGAACAGTTAAAAAGAGCTGGACTTTCCTCTTTGTTTCACTTTTAGTCTTTTTTGCAAGGGGGAAAAATGGTTATGATTCAGTATTAGCTTCTGATATTCTAATGAACAATACCTGGGTAAATTCCTCCTTTGCTCCATACTTCCTGATCTTAAATTTTTGATTCATTTATTTATAATATTTTACCCATTTCTGAGTGTGACTTGTAGTCAGAATTGTTAATTGCTGATTTTATAGGTGAACATATTATTTCAGATCAGCATACTTCAACTGATACAAGCTCTCCTGACTGTCCTCATGGACTTGGGTTAAACCTCTGTCAGTGTGACCATTGTAACATTTCAGTCACTGAGTGTTTTTCTGAGGTACCTTATATATTTTAGCTCCATTATTTAGCTAATGCCATAAAGGAGAAAAGACCTGTATCTCATCCTGTGTCTCAAGAACCATAAAATGCTGAGTCACAGTGCATCTGAGGGCTGCTCTCACTAGGCAGATGATTTAAAGTTTGAGGCGGGAGTGATTTCAGATTCTGCCAGGCTTACATTGTTGTTCAGTTCTTTTATTTTGATTCAGTATGCTTGTGAAATTGTGGGGCTGGTGTGGGGTGAAGGCCGATTGGGATTAGGAGGGAGTGTATGAACTACAGTACTGTATTCTTGAAGGCCATTTATACTGTTCACAAGTAATTAAATACAGAAATATGTAATCCATTACTTTAGACAATGCTGTATATGTGCATCATTCAGCAATTCAGAAAGTAGCTTTTCTTACTAACTTTAAATAGTTTTGAATGTACAGAGTAGGTGATGCAAGTTAAAATATTTCTCAGGGATATAGAAGAAAGTGCTAATGGTTCTTGTTATAAGGTGATGCTGGTACTCTGGGAAGAAAGAATTGTGGGATTTATATTATTGGAAAATATCTAAATTCCTTGTAGTATCTAAGCTAGATTTTTTCATTGATGGAGCAACACAGTTGTATATGGTATTCTAGCCCCACCACTAGCATTTCAAGCCCTGCTATAGCATGTTGTAAAGGTTCATTTTTTTTTAAATCAATTTTTTGCATATTTGCTTTTAAAAAAATATTTTTTAGWTGTCAATGGATCTTTAATATATTTATTTACATTGTGATGCTCCGAATTGAACCCAGTGTCTCATACATACTAGGCAAGTGTTTTTCCTCTGAGCTATAACTCCAGCCCCAGGTTRAGTTTTCTTACATCACTATAATGGTGTAATAAGCAGAGAAGGTGACTGGGTAAGTTTACATATCTAACTATTTATGCATCAGAAAAAATGGTGGAGAAGATATGTATACATATTCATTCACTTAACAAATACATATTGTAGACCAACTGTGTGCAAGGCACTGTTACAGTGTTAGGGGTATAGCTGTAAACAAAACAAGATCCTTGCCTTTATAGAATTACCTGCTTGTAGGGAAGCCAGACAATKAATAAGTAAATAAATAGTATATTTGATGATAATGTGTGCTCTGGAGATAAAGAAAGGCAACAGGCCTAATTGATAAGGTGACATTTGTATTGATCTTAAGGAGGTGAGGCAGTTAGGCATGAAGAATTTTTCTTTTTTTGGCTGCACTAAAGATAGTACCTAGGGCCTAGCAGATGTTAGACAAATAATGAGCTACATCCCTAACCTTTTTTACTTTTTTTTTTCTTCCTGCCTCATCCTCCTGAGTAGTGTGCACCATGGTATCCAGCTGCAACAAGGACTTTTTTTTTTTTTTTTTTTTGGTACTGGGGATTTTATTTTTTATTTTTTTTGGTACCAGGGGCTCTTTACCACTGAGCCACATACTCAGCCCCTTGTATWTTTTTATTTTGAGATGGTCTTGCTAAGTTGTTTAGTACCTTGCTAAGTTTCTTCGTGCCTTGCTAAGTTTCTTCGTGCCTCGCTAAGTTGCTGAGGCTGGCTTTGAACTTGATCCTCCTGCCTCAGCCTCCTGAGTTGCTAGGATTTATAGGCATGTACCACTGTCCCCAGAGGATGTTTGAGAAGAGAATTTTTCCAAGCAGTGAATGACACTGTAAAAGCTCTACAGTTGAACATAAACTGGCTAGTTACAGGAAGGGGACCAGTATGACTGGGAAACAAAGCAGGTAGATTGAGGGGGCACTAGTCATTCATAAAGACTGACTTTTACTCTGAGTGAGACAGGAAGCCATTAAAGGGTTCTAGTTAGAGGAGAGAAAATTGCATTTTAAACTCATCATTCTTGTTTGCTGTCTTTTTTTTTTTTTTTCCTATTTTTTCTTTTGGTACTGGGGATTGAATTCAGGGGCATTCAACCACTGAGCTACATCCCCAGCCCTAGTTTGTATTTTATTTACAGACAGGGTCTCACTGAATTGCTTAGAGCCTCACCTTTGCTGAGGTTGGCTTTGAACTTGATACCCTCCTGTCTCAGCCTCCTGAACCACTGAGTTTACACAGGCCAGGTGATTGTTTTGTTAAGGAACTATTATAATAAAACCCAGGTTATAGATAGTGTGGGCCAAGACATTCATGGT